GACTCGGATATTTGAGCAGTTAAGGTTGTCTGATATCTCTCAGATTTTCTTCAATGCCTTTGATTCTTTTTTCTTTTTTTTGGTCTGCCTGTGTTATTTCAAACAGGCCATCTTCAAGTTCAGAGGTTCTCTCTTCAACTTCTGCAAGCCTACTGGTTAAACTCTCCATTGTGTTTTTTTATTTCGCTGAATGGATTCTTCAGTTCAGCAAGCTCTGCTACATTCTTTTTCAGGGCATTGATTTCCTTGTACATTTCTTCTTTCAGATCCTGTATACCTTTCCTCATTTCATCATGTTGTCTAGCTGAGTTTTCTTGTATCTCATTCAGTTTCCTTAGAATTATCACTCGAAATTCCTTGTCAGTCATTTCAAGGGCTTTTTGTTCTATAGGATCTAGAGCTTGAGAGTTATTACTCTTTGGTGGTGTACTTTCTTGATTTTTCATATTTCTGGTCTCTTTTCTTTGATGCTTATTCATTGTGGCAGGGGGTTTCACAGTCCACAGGTTTGACACTATTGTCTGAGTAAGATGTTGCCGGGGTTGCCAATTTGGTATGGCTACCTCAGTGACTGCTCAGTTGGCCACTAGTGCCTTGTGTGTGTGGTTGCCTTGGGTCTTAGGCCTCTCTGGGGAGCCACCTCTCTGGTCATTTTGGACTCAGTCAGGCTGCTCGGTCACGGGGTGGTACTGCAGGGTGTGTGGTCTCTGCTGAGCTTCCACCTCCCCTGCTGGACGTCTCCTTGTTCTGCGCACACTGGGCCAGGCTTCTGGGATGCGTGGAGGCACCGCAGAGCATGTGGTCTCTGCGGAGCTTCCCCTTCCCCTGCTGGATGTCTCCTTGCTCCGTGCACGCTGGGCCGGGCTTGGGATGGAGCCGGGTGGCGGTGGTGAAGCCTACCTGCTGGATCGCATGGTGGCGGCCCCCCCACAGGGTGTGTGGTCTCTGTGGAGCTTCTGCCTCCCCCGCTGGACGTCTCCTGCTGCAGATAGTCTTTTAATTCTCTTGTGTCTGGTTCTCGTCCTCCAAGTGTTGATGTGGGTGAAGAGCAACTGGAACTCTCACATGTGAAACTGACCTACAAATGTTGCCTGGCCAGCTGGACCTGCGAGCAGTGCAGCAGTGTTTTCGTTTTCAAATTCAGACGATGGCGGCCAGTCAAACGTAGTTTCCAAGGCTGGGAGGTCCAAAGTGCATCTGCTGGTGGCGACAGTTATCCAGGGGTCTCACATTGCAAGATGGTGGAAGCAGAGAGAGCAGAGAGAGTGCTAGTAAAAATTTTAATAAAAAAGAGACGAGCTTAAAAATACAATTATAAAAGTTTTATTTTTTTTATCCTTTTGGTGCTGGAAGGTTCAGGGATCCAAACCCTGATGTTGGTGACCTTGGTGTTATAAGGCTATGCTCTAACCAACTGAGTTAACTGGCCAGCTCCTCAATTATAAAATTTTTAGAGTAATTATAATCTAATTCCATTTTTAAGAAAGAAGACATCTTCACAGAGCATGTACTGAGATGCCCTTGGCTGGGATAAGGAGCCAGCCTCCACCCTCAGCTGCTTAGCCCTCTGCTTACGTGTAAGACTCTGCTCATCCAGCATGAGACTGTGCTCAGCCTCTGGTTCACTGGGCCCAAACCAGTTGCCTCCGGAGGGCAGAACCTTCTCCAGCCTCACAGCGGTAGGAGCTTTGAGATTGCAGGGCTTCTCCAAAGCCCTGAGATCTTAGATCAGATTCTCAGGTGGGGCTCAGAGATATCAATCATGGCTCCAGCTGGGCATAAATGGGTTTGAGTATGTGTGTGCACATGTGCATGTGTATCTGTGCACAGGTGCGTTGTGTGCATGTGTATCTATGCTTGTATATGCCCATGTGTGAACATGTCTCTGTGTGTGTGCACATATGTGAGTGCATGTGTGTATTCGTGAGTGTGTTTGCACATATGGATGTGTGTGGGGAGGCAGGGAGGACCATGAGATGGTCAAAGTTTGAGGATAAGAGCCAGCCCTGAAGTTGTGCTTTGGGGTCGGTATGGGGGCTCTGTCATAGCTGATGACCTTGGCAGGTCTCTTGACCTCTCTGGGCTCGTCTGTCCTATATGACTGTAGTGTGGGCTCAAAGGGATGGGTACTCCTTCCTCCCATCTCGGTGAGGTCATGGGAGCTCAGGAAGAGCAACTTCTCAGCATCTGGTTTGCAAGAAGAGTTCAGTTTGGTTGGCTGAGGCTGTCATTTGGGGGCCCCTGCTTCACTGAACACTACTAGCTTGAATGTTGCCTGGAGGAGACAGGGCCAGAGCTCCCGAACCCCCTTTCCCCTCTCAACACCTGTGCACAGTAGGTACCCACGAATAGTTGAGCACCTCTTCACTCAATCACTCCCTCATAAAACCGTCATCAGGGGAGGCAGTCGCAGGGAGAAGAGGGCACAAGTTCCTGCTTTCCAGGAGCTGCTGCTTTGACGACTCTGAGCCTGAATCCCAGGCATTCTGTTGGGGCGGGCGTTGGAGGGAAGGCGCTCAAGAGGGCTCAATTCCGAACCCGGGAGTAGGATGCCTCAGAGAGTAGGATGCCTCAGAGATGGGTGGGACCGAGGTCACGGTGCCTGCAGTACTGAAGATGGCCTGTAGGTGGCAGAAGAATCCCGCGCAGAGTCCCTGTCCCTAGTCGCACCTTCCCAAGTGGGTGAGTCACCTAGCTCGGGTCCCTCAGCTTCCGGGGTGAGGGTGGGGAGGGAGATGTGTGGGAATAGTGCAGATTTGTCCCAGGAGACAGGCACAGCCACACTCCCTGCGGCTCTAGACAAGTTATTTCCTGTCTGGGGGCCTCAGTTTCCTCATCTGTAAAATGAGAATTAACAACTTGTGCTGGGAAAATTGGTTCAAAATATGTAAGGACGTCGAAGACGGGCTCAGAATGAAGTAGAGACCTAAATGTGGACAGGGAAACCTCAGAGCTAATAGAGAGTATGTCACTGGAGTGGGAGGAGAAAACTTTTTATTTATTTATTTATTTATTTTTTAAAGATGACCGGTAAGGGGATCTTAACCCTTGGCTTGGTGTTATCAGCACCACACTCTCCCGAGTGAGCCACGGGCCGGACCGGCGAAAACTTTTTAAACACGACCCCAAAAGCTCAGTCCATAAAGTGAAATGTTGATGGATCTGACCAAATGGAAACTCAGGATTTCTGGCCCAAGGACGCTGTATACTAGGGGAAAAAATGAGCCAAGGATAGAAGTAGGAATGCACAGAAGGGGAGTCGCCAGTGCCAGAGAGACGCCCAGAGCCACCAGGGACTAGAGGGTTGTGAATTAAACAACGAGGTGCCACATCCCTCAGCAGGCTGGCAAAAAATTAAGAAACTGAGTAAACTAGCGGTTGGCCACCATTAGGGAAGTCAGAAGCCTAGCAAGCCGCCTGGCAGCGTGCAAACACCCAACTCGAGAAGAGACTTCAAGAGAAATAAAACGTCCTGCGCTGTCACTTTCCAGGTAAAATACGGGGCTTTCACAGCACTGAACTGCTAGTGCAGAGGTCTCCCCGGGAACCAGGGAGATTACCGCCTCCTCAGGAAGCCATGACCCCTACTTTGACTCTGGCGGGCCCCGCCCCTCCCAGTCTGGGCCCTCCTGGCCCTTTAAGGCTGACCTAGCAGGGCCCCAAGTCGGGATGACGCGCGGAGGGTGTAGTATGGGGTCACGTGGGCTGCGGGCGGCTTGACTCTCGGCCCTGGGCTCTCGGCGGCCGCCCGCTCCAGCGATCAACTCCTCTGCCCCTCGCCGGCACCGCCACTTCCTCCAGGTGCACTGCCACCAGGTATGCCTTCCCTGAGCTCCCTCTGCGGCCGGCTCCAGGGAACTCGCGGCCACTTGGCGTCCGGCCCCTTCACCTCTTGACACGTGCCGGGCGGGACCACCACCCCCTACTGCGCGTCAGTACTCTCAGGCCGTTCGCTCCGCATTCCTAGCTTGACCCCGGTCCCCGCAGCCCAGCCTGGCTCGGGGGCTTCGAGGCTGTGGTGTGTTGGAAGAGTGTGCATGGGACTCACTCTTACCCTTTCCCCCAGGTACCCCTGGACACACCAGGCTGGGGTCGCCTCTGAGCGCCCCGCGGGGGCCATGGATGGTGAAACAGCAGAGGAGCAGGCGGACCCTGCGCCCCCACCAGGTGCACTCATTGGACCCGGCGGCTTCGGTGGTGCTCCAGCTCTCAGGGGGTGGCGAGAACCCAAGAAGTACGCGGTGACTGATGACTACCAGTTGTCTAAGAAGGTTCTGGGCCTGGGTGTGAATGGCAAAGTACTGGAATGCTTCCATCGGCGCACTGGACAGAAGTGTGCCCTGAAGGTCAGTGACCCCTCACTCAGGCCTGGGGTGACCTGGAGGGCCCAACAACAGAGGCCTGTGGGTTCAGGGCCCCTGCTCAACTTCCTGTGCTAAGCATCATGTTTCATCCTCATACTCTCCTGTAAGGTCAGGTTCATGATCCTCCCTGCTTTACAGATGGGGAAACTGAGGCTTAGTCTAGGTAAGCTCAGGGTGTCTCAGTGAGCAAGGGGTGGAGTCAGTAATGGGTAGAGCTGCTGTACCCGGAAGCAGGAAAGGAGCAGCTCCTGACTCTGGTTCTCGCTGGGCCTGTGTGTTCAGGCCCAAGAGAGGCTCTTGCTCAGCTTGGCTGCCGCTTCCATGAGAAGCTTCTCTGACTGGGGTGGGTCTGAGTTTCCAATCTCTGCCAGAGGCTAAGCCCACACCAAAGCTCAGAGTGGAGCTGCTTCTTCCTTGTGGCCCCTGCCTGCCTGGGCTGGGGTGATGTGAGTCTCCCAGGGCTGGCAGGTGGGCAAGGCTGATGCCTATCATGCCTGTGGGCAGGAAGCTGCTGATGGGCTCCTGAGAAAAGGGGCTCACTGGCCCCATGTTGAAAGGGGCAGAACCTGCTCCATGCCTGACCCACCCTGGTTCCTGGGCAGGGGTGGGCCAGCCAACTAGCCATATCACACTACAGGCTCCCTGGAGGCCTGGCCCACTGATACAGGTGTGGGGGTGGGGGGCATGGGTTATGAGGATGGTGATCTAGCCACTTGGTTCTGACTGAAGGGCCCAGGACCCCACCCCATACCCAGAATCCCTTGAGTCTGTCATCTCTGGGAACTTTACTCATCTGCAGCTTGTGCCAGTGGCTACCTGGACAGGTAGAGCATGGCAGGGAGAGTGGCTCCTGGAGGTTAGAAGCACCACAAAGAATCTTCCCATTTTACAAAATTGCAATTATGAGTGCAGAGTCCTGCAGATGTGACTCTAATCTCTGCCCTGTATTTGCCAGCTACGTGACCTTGGACAATATCCTGGAGTCTTGAAGCCAGGTTTCTACTCATGTTCAGGGGCAAAGATAAGGGCTCGTTGTGAGCTTGAAATGAGATTATGCGTGTAGAGTACTTGGCACTGCACGTGGTACAGGCCTGGAGAGCTACAGGACTTACTTAGGGCACAAGATCTGCAAGTGTCTGAGCAGGAACCTGGATCCATCTCTCTGTGTCTTTCCAGGGGCACTAGGATAGAAGAGGTTGTCTTCCCAGGGTGGCCTTGGAGGGGATGAGGATCCCCTTGGAATGGGGTGAGGGTGGATGGGATTCTCTGAGTCTTTCAGGGAAAGATGGCTCATCTGAGAGCAGATTGGGATAAGGGGATTCTGCTTTCATCTTCTCCCTGGGCACCATTTAGCTTTCCATCTGTGCTAGGGTTGGGGACATTCTGGGTGGGCGAGGGGCTGATTGAGGCCAGAGAACTGCTTCTTCATACCAAGGCTTTGGCCCTGTGAGCCAGGACTGAGCTCTGACCAGCCCTTATACTATCCAGATGCTGTGAGCAAGGCAGGGATGGATGGGGTGGGAGGTCAGAGTTTCTGGGCCCAGCAGCACCAGCTTTAAGCAGGGCTGGACCTAACCCCTTTTCCATAGGTGCTGTGTCTGACAAGTCACTTGGGAGAACTTCTGACTGCAATAACTTCCACAGCACTTCCTCTTGAATAGAGGGCCTCGGTGTTCTCCCTATTCTGGACTGGAAACTAGGGCAGGCCTGAAGTAGGTTTCCTTCTGTACCTCTTTAGACTTTATGGGTGAGCATGGCTGGGGCTACTGGCTTGGGACATTTAAAACCTGGCCCTAAAGTGATTCTCAAGGGGAATATGGATTAGATGTAGCCCCAACCCCTGCACCTTCCTGTTCTTGCCATTCCCCCTCCCCCCCCACCCTCTCCAGTCCCCAAACCTAGAAGTCCCTACCCAGCTAGGCAGGCCCTCACCACCTCCCATGATGGGGCTAGCATGACCTCTGGCACAGTCATGGTACCTGTACTGTGAGTGGTAGTTGTAGCCATGAAAAGGGAGGCGGCATCTCTACTTATAGCTTCTGCTCTCTGCCTAGGAGGGCCAGGACCTGTGGACCTCAGCGAACGGGCAGACCTGGGACCAAGCCTCAGCCAGCTCATGAATGGGTTCCAGCCCTCTTCTGCCTCTGCCTAGTCCTCTCCCAAGCTTCCCCAGATCAGCCTCGGTGAAGTCATGGGCTGTTTGTCTTTCTGCCTCCCCAGGGATATACCCCAGGTCACCAGGTTGGCCTGTCCTCATCTGTAGCCTGAATTTGTTCAGGTTGTCTCTACCTTGTTCCGTCCATCTCTGTCTGTCTCTCTCCCTTCCCGTCCTCTTGGTCCTATTGCCCCAAATGGCACATAGTGCTCACGAGGAAGCCTGGAACGCAGCGGGCACTCACAAAACAGGAAGAGCTGTGGTTGCTGTTCCTGTAGCTGTTGGTGTTCTGTGCCTTAGAGGAGCAGGCCCCTCCTTCCTGGAGAGCTGGGCCTCTTCTCCTTTCAGCCCTTGGCCACCTGCTTGGTCCATCTTGGCCTTGCCCACACTCAGCAACTCCCTCCCAAGGCCAGCTTCTACTGCTAGTACAGCCGTTCTCCTGTCCATTCCACCCCAAGCACTCAAGCACTCAGGAACCAGAGGACTGCCTGCCTCAGGGGAGGGCATATGAGGGTGGGCAGTCATCCAGTTCCTGCTCCTCCTGCCCCTTCCAACCTCTTGCTTATGCCCCCTCCCAGGCTTAACTGGTTAATTGGCACCCCTTGGCTTTGCCTGTAACTGGGCATAGCCCTGCAGATTTGTCACCTATCAGTCACCCCACCACATTCAAGACCCAGCCCCTCAAACCTTATCACATACATGAAAATTGGGACCCAGAGTGAGTGCCCAGAAGTCACATGGCTTGATTGGGAGGTGGGGTAGGGGGTGTTGCACCAGAGGCCAGAATTTCCTTCCCTTCTTACTTTCTGCCTAGCCCACTTGTGGTCACTGGCCTCCTGGCAGTTAGACATGACCACGGCACTTAGTACCTCCAAATAAAAGCAATAAAAGGCCTTGAGGAGACATAGTCTGCACGTGGGAGGAGAGGTAGGGTCTTCTTTCCTGTCACTGTGGGTTTCGTGTCCCTTTTCCTCTGACCACTGGAGCATGTTGGAACTCCCTCTGGGCTCCCAATGCCCTCCTCTTCCCTTCTTTGTTAAGGAGAGGAGTGGTGGGGTGATGGATCCACATGTCTAGGAGACCCCTGCAGAGTCCTCTGGGCTGACTTTCTCCAGCAAGCATCCTCCTTCTGGTCTCCAGGATCTGGAGAGATTGCTGAGACTGTCTTGCCTGGGACAATTCCCTTCTCCTTGGTGCCAGATGGCTTCTGTGAGGCAGGCTGCTCCACAGTCTATGTGGGATCTCAGTGATGCCCCAAAACCCAACACAGGAGAGGGAACATTTCTCTTGACAGATGGGAAACTAAGCTCTGGAGACCAGGAGGAGATCTCTCCTGTGGTCACAGGGATTTGAGGACTTAACTGTATACATTCTGAACCTCTAAGTATGGTACTTATGGCCTCTGCAGTCCAGCCCATCTGTCTTTTCTACCCTGGATGACATCTTTCTCCAGCACTGGAGAATCCCTTCCCATCTGTCAAGATTCAGCACCAATGCCACCTCTTCCAGGAAGCTGCCCAGAGTCCCTGGCTTTGGTGCAATAGAACCTTCTTTCACCCCTAAAGCCATAGTAACCACCTTTGACTCAAAGTTCCCTTGTAGTATCTGGGCCTGGAGGCTGGCGTACATTAGGGGCTTATAAATGCATATTAAAAAATAACCATGAGGGGCCGGCCCGTGGCTCACTCGGGAGAGTGCGGTGCTGATAACACCAAGGCCCCGGGTTCGGATCCCATATAGGGATGGCCGGTTAGCTTGCTGGCTGAGCGTGGTGCTGACACCACCAAGTCAAGGGTTAAGATCCCCTTACCGGTCATCTTTTATTTTTTATTTTTTTTAATTTTTTAATTTTTTTTCCTTTTTGTCTTTTTTCGTGTCCGGCAACGGGATCGCAACCCTCGGTGTTGCGCCCGCACCTCGCTCAGCCAGTGAGCGGGAACCGGTCTGTATGTGGGATCCAAACCCTCGGCGGGAGCGCCGCCACACTCCCAAGCAGCGCACTGTAGCAGTGCGCCACCAGGCCGGCCCCTTACCGGTCATCTTTTAAAAAAAAAACAAACAAACCATGATCTGGCCTCTCTGATCTCTGAAAGGAGAACCAGGAGCTGGACTTTTTCTTACCGGTCATCTTTTAAAAAAAAACCAAACAAACCATGATCTGGCCTCTCTGATCTCTGAAAGGAGAACCAGGAGCTGGACTTTTTCTACGTTTCTGCTCCGTGAAAGACAGGTTCACTGACTGTATCTCAGAGATAAGCCACAGAGAAATGCTATTTCTCCTGTGGTAAGTCCTAGAATTCACAAATCATCTAACAGTTTTGCTGCTCCCAGACAGAACCTGTGGGGACTTGCCTGGGGAGAAAGGAAATGCCCAACAATGAGGGACATTTCTGCCCCCTGCCTGCTGTCTAGGCTGCACCTCTGAGAAGTGGACAGAGGGGCTGTCTCCAACCAGGATACCAAGAGGAAGATAAAATGTGAGTGGGATGCAGAGACTGGGGGCAATGGACCAGAGCCCAGTACCCTGGATGCCTCCCCAGGCAGAGGAGTGATGGTGCCCATTGCTCCATAGGCAGGGCCGGCCTGTTGGGGCTGGCACTACCAGGCTGGATTTGAGGCCGGGTGGGGCTGCCAGACAGGCCAGGCCCTTCCTCACTTGGCAGCAGCCACCCCTTCACCTACCATCTCCAGACTGGTCAGATCAGCCTCTGCAGGGCCACTTGTTACTGAGTCAACAAATCAAGAGGTATGTGGAGGGGCTGGTGGTCCTATGCAATGGGAATCCCTGGAAATGGTTTCACTGCTCCCAAGGTTCTCCCCGGGCTGC